TTTTTACGACTCTACAACAGTCTACTTTTTTTTTCTTCATCAACAAAACAATAAATACATATATATAAAAATAAAACAAATTTCAACTAAATTGAGAAGAAAAACATACCTCTACCAATTACAATAGTGCTAATCGGGAGAGCTCCAAGAGTTTACGCAAGCCCCAACTTCGGCTTCTCTCTCCCTTCAAATTCCTGGCTCATTTCTCCCTCTCAAGCTTCGCCCATGGCAATAACCCTAAGACACCCAACTTCACTGAATCAAAAAGATCGAAACCCCACCCCTTTTCTGATGACTGCTCACGCACAGTTTCTTCAATCAAGACCCAAACCCATTAGCGATTGACAATAACCCAACTCCAGCAGCAAAACTAGAATCAAAACTCCACAACCAACAGCACAAGCAACTGTTTCGCAGCACCCTTGCGGCTCACCGACGGCGACCTCTGCAACTCGCCGCCCTTATTCCCTCCTTTCTCTCTCTGATAGCTCGCCTCTCTTCCCCTTCGCGACTTTGGAGTTCGATTCAAGACCCTGAAGCCAGTACTACAAAAATCTCTCCCCTCACAGTCCTATTCTGCAACAACAGTGTGAGAAAAGCCGTGGCACCTTCGCACCACACAAGTGTTGTCAGATCTCACCTCAGAGCTCGTTGGTGGCAACCTTTTTCCCTCCTTCGCGGCTGTCAACCTTTCTCTCCCAGCTGGATTCTGGATTTTCTAGTCTTTCACTCTAAGTTGGATTCTAGGCTTTTAGAAAGAGAAAAGAAAGGTATATCTAAACACAAAACTGCTAAACAGCTTTCTTAATGGTGCACTTATCCAAGAAACCAAGCCACAGGTAACCAAGTCAATAAAAATATACAGAATACATATTCGAATGGTTCGAACAAGTTAAACTATACCCAGAATATATACAAACTTTTATGAATTCATACGGAGTATAGGTTCTTTGCGGCAAAAATGCAATGTTCAAATGGGAACAAGGAGCTCAAAAAAAAAAAAAAAAAAAAAAATTTTATATACATACATTGAGGTTGTACCTTCCCAAGGAAAAATTCTTAAACCAATCAAAAATTCTCTTTGCTTGTTAAAAACATTAAAAACAAATTGCAAAAACTTGAAACTCTCCAAAAAGTTACTTTCAGCAGCTCCAAATCAGTAGCTATTAATGGTCTGCTCTAAACTTATAACTTCAATTGGTGAGTTGTCTTCTCCATAAATTGCTCATTCCCACCGAAAAGTTGCAAAAGTTAGTAAATTCACCCCCTCTTTCCCGATGCAATCCCGTCTTTATAAGAGAGCAAATACAGGACAACAATACGAAAAACGCAAGCAAATTCATATCCAATTGCTAACACTTTCCTCTCAACTTCAACAACCCATTCTCTCTACATGGCTTCCAGAGGAGAGGGACACCGAGATAACACCGTTTGGCAGCCAGTGAACAAGGCTCCAAACCAAAGAGGTTCAAAATATAGAGCTTCAAGCTCCAACTCTAGAGCTTCAAGCTCCACTCCCACTCACCACCGCCGCTCGGTGTGTGAGTTCTTTCAAAGGATGCTCTCCATGCCTCCATGGCAATTCCAAGATCTACTATTCGAATCCCCTTGGATCCAACACCCAATATCCACTTATACAGTCGTAGAGGTGAAGGAAGAATTTCGGGGTAAAGTAATAGGATGGTACAAGGCACTAACCATTTCAGAACTCTGTACGATACCACCGTCCCACACTTGGTTTTGCTAAACCTAGAAGGCAACCTCACTCTCCAGGGATCCACCTACCAGGCAAATCAGGTATTAATCCCACATTTCAAGAGGATCCGAATCAGCATCCTCTCGCAAAGACCGATAGAGAGAGATCTAGATCACCACATCTCCATCATGTCAGCACCGTTGGAACACCCAAATGAAGATTTGGGACTTGGGTGGGACATAGAGAACTTCACAGATCTCAACATGGGAGAAGAGGGCGCTTCCCGTAGCTCTCAGCCAAGCATTCCCCACAACACTGCGCTCAACATCCTCTTCTTCAATATTGAGGGCGTCGCTCGCCTTAACTTCCTCCAGCACTATATGCACCTACATTCTAGTGGACGCTTCCACCTCGTCATCATTACAAACACAAAAAAAAAGGGAAGCGAGACCCAGTTCATGAGCCAAATCATGGGCTATCCTAACACCAAGGCCATGGCCCCCCTTCCTAGCGGCATGGAAAGGGTGATAGGTGGAATTTGGTGCCTATGGAACGAAGCTGAAATCTCCTGTGAAGTGGAGATTCTGTGGAATCGAGCCATCCCCTAAGAAGCCCACATCTTCATCCGGCCGTCTCGCACCGGATGAAACTTAAAATGTAAACTCTCCATGAGCAATCCGAATTCCCAATTGTATCAAAAGCCTAATTTTAGATAGCTCTATCTGAATACTTATCCGCATGAGCTGATATTTTCAAAAATTTTTAACAAAGTCATGTACAAATACTCTCATTAACTATAAGAACATCTGTACAGGGGGACATTATTGTGGGTACTTGTATCAAGCCCAATACGCGGCAAGCCCTATAGGTACCACATCACCAAAACCCCACCCACGTGGCAGACCAATAAGGCACCGCGTGGGCATGTCATATGTTTGATACATGGCGAGCCCTACGGGCGTCGTGTGCCAAGGCACCACGCAAAACCAAGACTATATGATTAGCCTAAGCGGGAACATACATATAACCCTAAATATATCTAAATATGAAGAGCCTTGCAACAGGCAGCACCATGGCCTCGCAAGGCCCATGGTCCTTTATACCTCACTCCAAGACCAAACAACAATATAATCAGCTCCCGGTTCACTTGGACTTGGATTGATAAACACTGGTTCTCCTAAACACTGAGATAGGCCCACGGTCCATTCTCTTACTTGGTCGCTTGGAAGCGAGCCCCTCTCCTAAACATTGAGATAGGCCTGCGGCCCATTCTCCTACTTGGTCACTTGGAAACATTGAGATAGGTCCACGGCCCATTCTCCTACTTGGTCTCCTACTTGGTCACTTAGAAGCGAGCCCCTAGCTCTCCTGAACACTGAGGTGGGCCCTGGCCCATTCATCTACTTGGATGCCTGGGTTGGGAGCAGGACTCAGGCACTACTGCTTGGGATCTTCAGAGGACATTGGACTAACGGCTGAGGTTATGGGATCGTCAAGATGGTTGTCTTCTTGCTAAGACAACTCCATCTGGACCAGGCTTGGGGAAGAGGCAACAACGACCTTACATTCATGTCATTCGATGCATATACGAAACGTACTTTTCGCCTGCTATGAAACGTTGCTCTCCGCCTGCGGTTAAGCCACAAACGGCAGAAGGGCTTATATCACTTCTGGCAAAGTTGAGGAGAGCGAGCTACCTGTTCAACAGTTTGCTTGGGCTCCAATATTCCTGTGGCCTATATAACGTATCGTATATACAGCAAAACAACAACACAACTTCATAATTCTAACACACTAAGTCTCACACTCAAACATTCCTTTTCACATTCTACATTAGTGTGCAAGGTCCATTATTGCCAGCCTCTCCATCTCCAAGCTTGCTTTGACCTCCTCCTCTCCACCTCTGGTGATCTCAGGCCATTGGAGTGCCCGCCATCTTCCCGGACCACCTCTAACGACACCTCTCTCACAAAAGTAAATTCATTCCTTGTGCGATTTTCAATGTTTGTTAGCAGTATATGCGAGTGAGGCTGTGTGTGGCACCAAGTAATGCTGGGAGGAGGTGTGGTAACTAATTAGGGAATATAGAGGCAATTTGTGCCAAACTGCTCTTTTAAGTCGTACCATCTTAGGACTGCCACCTATCCACATATCATTCACATGACCGTAAATTCTTTGTTGCAGGGCCAAAAAATCAATACTCATCTACTGAAATGACTGTTATCTTAAGACTTGGGTATTATTTTTGTGTGACTTTTACTACTTTACAAGGGTGGACAACTAATATCTCCCTTTTATCAATTTATTGTGTTTAATTTACATTTGAATTCACCTTGAGATGGTTTATGTAAGTTTATTGCTCTCTGTCTCTCTGATTTTAAATTATTTGTGCTTACCCAAAAAAATATATATTCTAAATTATTGACTTGATTTTTAATTTTTTAAAATTGATATTATTTGTTCTCTGTCTCTCTCTCTCTGATTTTAAATTATTTTTGCTTACCCAAAAAATATATATATATTCTAAATTATTGACTTGATTTTTAATTTTTTAAAATTAATATTATTTGTGATTGAACTTTCTTCCCTGATTCAAACTTATAGTACTGCTGTGAAGAGTTGTAATGACACAAATCATGTTAAAGTAAATAGATTTATGAAGAAAAAGAGACGTGTATGGGGTGAATATTGGTTGTGCCTTGGTGGAGTAACTGGTATTTTTAATTTGTTTTAATCTCAACTTTCTGTTACCATTCTGTAATGAAAAAGATGACAGAAAAGTGGCATGTGAGCTGTACTTGCCAATTTTGTAACCAAATTGTTCATTCAAGAGCTGGTTTATACGTGAGGGATATGTAATATCTTTCTCTTTGGTTATAAAATTGGCATGTGCATATATTTTCTCTCATATATTTCTTCATAGGGGATGAGAAAATATATACATATCTCTCACATATATGTAAATAAATTAACTCTTGAATGGGCATTTTGGATATAAAATCAGTATGTGCAGCTCACATGCCATTTTCTGTCTTCTTTCATAACAGAATGTTAACAGAAGGTTTGAAACAAATTAGAAGACCAAGAAGGTAAAATGTAACTTTTTGTAGTTGAGGGGAGTATAGTGACAATCACCCATAGTTGAAGGGTTAAAGAGTGGTTTACCCTATTCAATATATTGGAACAAGTAATACTGGAAACGACATTTGCAACGTTAATTGCACACACCATTTCTTGGAATACATTTCCCCTCCCAACACCAACATTTGGGTAAATCTATTTAATCATTTTTGGCCTTTTTCAGTCAAATTTTATTTGTGGGGGCAAACATCATATGGAGGAGTGACAGAATTGAGAGTCCACCTCACGAGATATACAGGACCCTCTCTGCAAGGGGTTTCAAGAACATATAAGGAATATAAAAACTGGACAGGGATGTGGTTATGCAGTGCAAAACGCTTTCGATCTTTAGACGCTTTGAGAAAATTCACAGAATCACCATGGCTTCTTCCATCCTGTTCCTTTTCAGACACTCCTTACAAGAAGTCAAAGCTTGCCCCTTTACAGGTCCTCTCTCTCTCTCTCTCTCTCAAGAAAATCTTCTTGCTTCGGTTGTAGTATTGTCTTTAGGTAATTTTTCCTTTTGGATTTTTTGTTTGTTTGTTGCAGGAGAGGAAAATGGTAGACCGGTTTAGGTTATGGGCCAAAGGAGGTGATGGTGGCAATGGTTGTTCCAGTTTTCGCCGTAGCCGACATGACCGCCATGGTAGACCTGATGGTTGGTTACCCCTTCACCTTCCCTCTTTTCTCCCTTTGTTTATTTATTTATTGATGGTTGGTTACCCCTTCACCTTCCCTCTTTTCTCCCTTTGTTTATTTATTTATTTATACCTGAACAAGAGAAGCAACCCTAACTCTCTTAATATAAAGCCCTAAATTTTGAAGCCCAAACCTTTTTCAATTGAATTTTTTCAAGGCTCGCTACTTATTCAAGAAGAAAGTTATATAAAATTCTCATGGCTCGTTAGATAATTATGTTTTCTCTAATTGAGTTTTCATGGTGATTTCTCAAATTCATTTTAATGTATTTGATCGTCATATATGATAATATGTTATTTTCCTCTACTCAAATTAGTTAACTGTTTTTGATCAGGTTGTTAAAGAGTTTCTTAGACTAATTGATTTAACTCCCACTTGTAATTGTGCCCATGTTTCCATTTATTTATTTATTGGATTAATCTAATGGCATTGGTTCTCTTATTATTTGTGGAATTATGCAGGTGGGAATGGTGGAAGAGGTGGTGATGTGATACTAGAATGCTCCCCCAGAGTATGGGACTTCAGCAGTCTGCAACATCACATTGTATGTCACTCTTCTCCCTTTCAAATTTTGCTGGCATTCTCTCTCTCTCTCTCTCTATCTTTTTTTTTTTTTTTTTATTCAATCCGTTTATTTGTTTGTTTGTTTTTTTTTTTTTTTTTTTTTTGGGAACCATTTATAGATATTGATAGTTATTGTGTCATGCAGAATGCAAAGAGAGGGGGACATGGAACTTCAAAACATAAAATAGGAAGCCGAGGGGCAGACAAGGTTATGATTGATTACTTGCTCTTTTTCACCTTCCCAGAGTCCATTTATTATCTGTTTGGCCATTTAATTTAATAGAAAACCTCCCTTTATTGAGAAACTTTCTTGTCTGATAGGTTGTCCAAGTACCTGTTGGCACTGTGATTCATCTTGTAGACGGTGAAGTTCCTTCTGTAGTTAAAAACATTTCTTCCACAGCTTTGGATCCCTGGGAAATTCCGGGTACACTCAATATAAATCCATCTGAATCTACTCAGAAATCGAACTCCTCTTGCCCAGGTGGGCTAGAGATGGTGGAAACAGTGGATAAGAATGAACTATCTTCTTGTTCTGGCAAAACTTTGGTGGAATCAGCTAGTGAAAAGCTAGCCCCTCCAGCTTCTCTAGTTGAGTTTCTTCCTCAATCTTTTCCTTCCCGTAAAAAATCCAGATGTCACACGGAAAATTTGGACTTTTGGAAGGAGGAAGGTGGGGTTGAGTTGGAAGGTCTGGAGACTCATAGTGACATGTCTGATGCCGAGTGGGAAGAAGAAATAGAGGAAAATGAACACATACAATATAATGTTGCAGAATTAACAGAATCGGGTCAAAGAATTATTATTGCTCGTGGAGGGGAAGGAGGCTTAGGTAATGTGTCTTCTGCAAAAGTGTCTAACAAAAATAATCCTATGAAGCACGGGGTCCAAAAGGGTAATGCTGATGATCTTGAAGTGTCTGATGAGGAACCTTCATCGCTTAGTGCTGGTTTGCCTGGTTCAGAGGTTGTTCTTGTCTTAGAACTCAAGAGCATTGCTGATGTAGGCCTTGTGGGGATGCCAAATGCTGGAAAAAGTACTCTTCTAGGGGCTATATCAAGGGCTAAACCCATAGTCGGCCATTATGCCTTCACAACTTTAAGGCCAAATTTGGGAAATCTAAATTTTGATGATTTCTCATTCACAGTGGCAGACATTCCGGGGCTTATAAGGGGAGCCCATGAGAATCGGGGACTTGGTCATGCTTTTTTGCGTCACATAGAACGTACGAAAGTTCTTGCTTTTGTGGTAGACTTGGCAGCTGCATTAGATGGTAGAAAAGGAATCCCGCCGTGGGAACAGTTGAGAGATTTGATATTAGAACTTGAATTTTATCGAGAGGGTTTATCAGATCGACCATCCTTAATCGTGGCAAATAAAATTGACGAGGCAGGGGCTGAACAAGTGTGTACAGAGTTAAAAAGAAGGGTTCCTGGTGTTCCTATTTTTCCTGTATGTGCGGTTCTGGAGGAAGGGATTCCTGAGCTAAAAGATGGTCTTCGGATGCTTGTGAACGGTGGAGAATCTTATAGACTAAATTTAGATAGTATTATAATCGACTAATTTGTTAGTGGAGAAATGCCTTGGACGGGTGCTGGGGGTCACCCCCCACTGGGGGTCCCCAGCACTGTTGATGAATGGCATTGATTAAATGTACCCATTGGTGTCAACTGATAGTTAATTGGAATTCCTTTGGGGTGGACATTTTCCCCAAAGTTTACTGAGAGTTTGTTTATGGAATTGCTGACAATGCTGTAAGATATCTCTGCTTGTTTGTGTTGTGCACATCGTCGCGAAGAGAGCTGTAAGTTGGTCTGTGTTAATTTATATTGCACACATAATAAGCGTAACAAATTTTTGTACCAAGATCTAATTTACTTAGTTATTCATTTTGATTAATTGGCTTTTATTTATTTATGGCAATTGTTTTGTCATATACACTGTTATCATTGCTAGTCTAAATTAAACATCATGATTGGCACAGAATTCAGCATGACCTTCCTAGAGCTTGGGTCACAATGTGTTGTAGAAATGTATTGCAGCATGATTAATTTGAAAATAAAAGGGGTTTTTTTATTTTATTAGATATCTAATATTGTTAAAAGAAAATTGTTCTTCTAAGTAGGCTCTCTATTGTACCACATTTTAGAAAATATGGTGTTCCACATTCTTGATCCTGTTCCACGTACCAAAACGTTCCAGGTAACACAGCACTAGTGTATTTTGGCTATCAAGCAGTGACTAATTTTTGGTATTGTATTTTCAACTGTTTTATTGGTTTTCCTGTTCAGTTGAAGCGCATGGTTAATTTTCAAGGCAGAACTTCTACTCCCAGGACATGAAGTCACTTGGCTCATTGTTTAAAACAATCCAGAGGAAAAAGACCCAAAATTTTTCCAGGTACTTATTTTCTGCTCCTCTACTTCATTTTTTATGCCATGTTACTAGTGATTGGCTTTGGTGTTGATTGTTTTTACATCAATACGAGTTTATAATGACTTGAGGCTCTTAAACAACCTGTATCTAGGTTAATGAGTGCCCTAAATTACAATGACTTGAGGCTCTTAAACAACCTGTATCTAGGTTAATGAGTGCCCTAAATTACTTCGGAAATGCAAAATATGAATTGAAAGTGGTTTTCATTAAAAAATATGGGGAAATTTTGACAGTAGATGAACAACGTAGAAGAGAGACTGGTTCATGTTTACAGGAAGCTCTACACAGGGAGGATAGAGGCCATTGATAGGGCCCAGAATATGAGTCAAGATCCCCTCCTTGCATTTCCTACTTGCAGGGCCATTGGGTCCACTTTTAGGCCTAATTTTGATAATCCGAACCGTTTATATTTTAAGATTTGTTCAGTATATCATACCTGTAAAAAATCAAGTTGATCAGATATTAGAAAACATATGTTCGAAAAACTGTTTATTAAATTAAAAAAAAATAGTTTTTAGTTCAATTTTTCTGAACACGTGCTTTCTAATATCCGATCAACTTGATTTTTTACAGGTATGATATACTAAACAAATCTTAAAATATGAACGGTTCGAATTATCAAAATTGGGCTTAAAAATAAGCCCAATGGCCCTGCAAGTAGGAAATGATGCGAGGGGATCCTTGCTCCCAGAATATAACACCATTCATAAGGCATGTAGTTCTTGTATATATATATATATAATGGGATTATATTCTTCATGGATGAACCGTAAAACATCCAATAATAACAGCCAAATCATTATTTTCCATTGAAATATTTAATGCTGAAAAGCATCAAATGAGAGCCCCATCATCGATCCCATTACTACCAACGCATTACAGTCAATGTAATCAATTCAGAAGGTCCCTTTCCTGTTCCATCTCTATATGTATAAACTATAGGGAGATGCTTCGTTTGTAGAGGGTACTTTGTTCCCTGTCCTGTGTCTCTAGTTTTCTCTCACTACACTCATTATTCACTACAATCGGTTGTTTGTTTGCTATAGCAAAAACAGGCCGCGGTTAGGAGGGAGAAATTTTATTCTGGGTCCCCTTTTGCTTGGCATGGGATAGCCGTATGCAATTCATTCTCATACAATGTCGAATTGTCCATAAAATTTTGTGATTATTGAATTAGATGCAGAAGGTATAGAGCTTTGTGTGACTCATAAAACAAATAAATTTTCCTTTTTGTCCATCTTCAAGTTTTATAGGCACACCCTTTGAAGAAAATGAAAAATAAAATGATGAAATAGAGAGAATATAGATGAAAGGTTTATTTTGGGGGATACAAAACTCTTGTAGAAAGATGATTCTTGATGCATTCAAATGGACAGCGAAAGCTCCACAATAGAAGGACAGAGGCCATTGAGGCCCCACATTCCTCCTATATGTTCAACTTTTTTTTATTTTTTATTATTTTTGTGTGGTATCTATAACTGAAATATTTATTTATTTTTTGTCAAATTAAGTGCTAGCAAGGAACTAAACCTAAAGCAGAGGATTTTTTATTTATTTATTTATTTTTGATTGATATTGATACGTGTTTGTTGAAGGGATGACAATATAACGAGCAAGTCACGCTCACCACTCTTTTTACATATAAATGGAATAATAATTCAATCAAAAAAGTTAGAAGAAAATGAGTTAGTGTATGACACGCTCAAGTAAATTACTTATTTATTTACTATATAAAAGGGAAAAAAAAAATTGCAAAGAGCAAGATTTGAATCAAAGCATATTACGTTGCTCTGTGTATATAAAATTGATTAAAAGAAAGTACCTTGCCGATAATGAATTTCTATTGACTTTTTATGAAATAAAAAATTTAGATAAAACTTTTAAGATGCAATTATGAAATTGAAATTGTCCAACCTAATCACAGTTGAAGACACCTATGCAGTTTTTCTCTTTTTTTTTTTTTGTTTTTTGAAGGACCGGTTTTGGCATTACACTAGGGTTGTTTTATTACAAGGAAAAATCTTAGCGTGTGTTGCACGTGATATGTAATTTTATATAGTTTTTTGGATAAATTATATAAATAGTCATCGTAATTTATACGATATGTTAATTTGATCTTTATTATTTTAATTTATTCGATTTTATTCTTTAATTTAACGAATTATGTCATTTTAGTCTAATAAATAATGGTTGTTAAGTTTGGTGGATAGAAAGTCAAGTTATGTATCAATTTGGTTTTTGTCAAAATCGAGCAAATTAAAATAATAGGGACCAAATTGTCAAATTGTGTAAATTACATGGATCAAATTGACACGTGTAAATTTTTGTCTACCAAACTTAACAGTCGTTATTTATTGGACTAAAATGACATAATTCGTAAAATTAAGAAGTAAAATCGAACAAATTAAAATAACAGGGACTAAGTTGACAAATCATGTAAATTACAGTGACCATTTGCATAATTTATGTTAAATTTTTACAAATTTACATAAGTGGCCTTATAAAAATGTATAAGTTTACTTAAATTTTTATGAACTGAAGTAAATTTGTATTCAACTTGTACATTTTTATGTGATTATTTATATAAATTCGTAAAATTTTTTGTAATCTTGTATAGGATTTTGTACTTTGTGCATTGTATACCAAAAATAAATATGTATTTGATACTCTCCAAATCTCATAATGATAAGAGTCTAGTGAATTACAATTATATATATAAGTATATTACGTGTGTTATGTACGGATTTAAAAAGTTAATCAAAATTAATTTTAAAATTAAATAATATAAAAAATATAAGAAAAAATAATTTAAAGTAAAACAAATTTTAATTATATTCATGAGAATGAAGGTGAAGCATAGGAGATGATGTGTCATTGATGATGTGATGTTTTGGTTTTGGAGTTGTATTTTTTTTTATTTTTTTTACTTTTTTAATGTATTAGTGTTATTAATGATGATGTTTTTAGTGGGATGAATCATTGTTGATGATAAAAACTAATGAGTTGATTGACGTGTTTTATTGTCAATCTCTTATAAACCTATCTACCCCGCTTTTATGTATATATAAAATTAACTTGCACGTATCCACTTATATTCTCTTTATAACCCTAATATAATTAATTAAATGGCATGCCTCCATTTTTATCTCATAGTTTTTCCCTAATTTGATTGCTTTGCATGTTTATTTATAAAAAAATAATTTGAATAATCTTATGTATTTCATTATTTTACAATTTGTGTTGAGATTTGAAATTAATGACAATTTTTCAGTTGAAAATGTGAAAAAATATGATTGCATGCTTATTATAGGCCAATGTTTTTAGTTAATTCATCAAATAAATAATATATATATATATATATTTATTTGTATATAATAACTGAACCTGGCCAACCAATGTTTTTGGCTTAGGTCTTGGTTAGGACCTATGCCCATTTTATTGGCAAAAACCTGACTTATCAATAACAACTCTAACCTAAATGTTATTTGGCAAAAACCTGACTTATCAATAACAACTCTAACCTAAATGTTATTTTTCGATCGAATTATTTTCATTTGGATGAAATGTAATAATAAAGATCATTTATCATAAGAATAATTTTATAATTTACTAATATATATATTTTTTATTCTTAATAAGGTGTGAATAATTCACATTACAAAATTTAAATTATTTTTTTAGATTTTTAAAAAGAATAATGTTATGGTGTTCATGATTTAATAAAATGGAACTAATTATTATCTCACAGATAGATAGATACATATTGCTATAGAGTTTGAGTTGATTATAATTAGATTCTATTTAATTGCTTCCATATATAGTGACACAAATTTAAATTTTGAAAGAGTTAAGCAAACTTTCATTTTCAAAGTCATAATTTATGAGATAGTTAGAGTTCTTTATGGGATTATTAGAATTTTATTTTTATGATTAAATGAGAATTAATCAATAGGAATTTCTTTTAATTATTAAAAAAAATCATAAAATCGTAAAATTTAGTATGAGGTTTTGGAGGTTCCACACCCCTTCATCTTTGAAAACTTCCTTTTGTTTAATATATATAGATTATTTGATTTGTATTTAATTATTTGAAATTAGAAAATAAGTAATAAAAATGTTTAGTAATGGCCATAGTGGGGGGAAAAATAATTTTGAAAATTTAATTATATAAATTATTTTATGCTTTAGGGAGAATATTTGATAATCAAAACATTTTTCAGTGTGTGATTTATTAATTATTATTTTTAAATTACAAAAAAATTTCTTTGTTTGATTGTAAGGAAGGAATGATTTTAGGAAATATTTTAGGAATGAAAAACGCCTTCTTTGTTTAATTTGTAAAATTAGAAAAAGAGAAAAATTATATATGAAATTGAGTGTGTGATTTATTAATTAATTTTTTTAATTGAAAAATTAAGAAATTGAGATTGAGTATGTGGAGCTCTTATATCCATTCTCATTAAAAATTTCATTTTCCTTAATATATGACTAGCATATTACCCATTCTATGCTTGAGATTAAACTATGATCGATAAATTTATTTTAAAATT